CTCTGGCAATTTGCCAATTTGCCGGAACGCTCCCTAACCGCCGTTATTTCAATGTGAAACTCGTCCAACCCCCTTTTCCAGCTCTTTTTTGACCCTTTGCAATTATTTTTGTTCATCGTTTTTTGCGCTTTTTTCGTTGTTATCGCTTTATTCTAGAGTAGTTCTATCAATTCCCGTCAAAAAAGTGTACCCTAAATTTATTGCTAACGGTGCCTTTAACGCGACATAAGCGCTATGTGCATGGTGAGTTATTCCTCCATGGCAGCGTGTGGAAGACCTCGGATGACCTTGATTTTGATTTTCCCGCAGCCCTCTTTGAATGCTGTGTCGATCATGACCAAGAAGTACTTAAATATCACTTCGTAGAGACGACAGCACATACTTGTCACGAAGAAGAGGTCCGATTCGGCCGCAGGCCAGTTAAGATCTTGTCGGTATAAGGATGGCGCATGCATTCTATCTGATGGCTCAGTACTTATTTGGACTCCGGATCATGAGGAAGAATGCCACTTAATCTGGCAGCTAAAACCAAAGGCTTCTCATAGGGTGATGTGTGGATAAGCGAATTAAAAGATTCTCCCTCATCCGAGTCAGGAGTCAGGTAGTATACGATTGCCTCAAGCAGCTAACCATTACTGGCCAGGATTACGCTATCGCAGTAGTTCGTGCCGAACTGCTCGCGCAATAGACGCTGGCCTTGTTATTATACTATTATACTAACCAGTTGTCCACACAACTCTTAGCAATCGAGCGTTCAGGGCAAGATGCGGTATCAACCTCGTTCATGCACGCTGTCCAAGCCCTATGCAATAGAACTAACAGTTTTCGTGATCGCTCTCCATGCTGCTCTTCAGACCAATCCTACCATTACACTGAGGAATCTCGTCGAGCGTAACGATCTAGTGGTCACGCATTTTGGTTTTGTCCAGGGTCCATTTAATCAGACCTGCTTTGCACATGCTCAGGTGGGATTCATTCAATCAGTGGGTCGACCTGGCAAGCCTTCCTCAACCCCTTTACAAGAGTCATCGTCAGTAGAGGACACATTATCGACTGCGCCGATTTTGCCCCACTTGTTTTATCGGCTAACTCCACTTTGAACAGTTTCTCCGATGAGCGGCCATGTGACCCTCGTCTCTATGCATCGTTAGCCTCCTTCTCATCCTGGGATGCCCTTTCGTTCTTTCCTAAGCTTGCCATCTTCCACAGCCCTATTCTCACCAACTTAGCGAGCTCGGTCCGATTCGCGGTTCCAGGAGTTGTGGGCGGTAAGGGATCAAGAGAAGTTCATTGACTACGTTGCGCAAACCTATTACAATGCAGTTACCCTCTTGAGTACCGGCTCCCTCGTTGACCACTCGTTCCACTTCTGACCATTTTCTCTCATTTCTCCATTCGAGATCTGAGTCTTCTGTTGCTGTTCGGTGGTTTTGCTTGAATTGATTGAATTCGTGCTCATTACATACGTTGGTATTAGTTACTTGGGGCTGTGGCCCCCAATTAAGAGGATTTATTCCACTGCAGCAACTCCGCGAGCAGCCCCCACACTAAGAACCTCACCTGATACCTGATAGTCCCAGATAATCGCTTAACGTTACGCTTCCGCTGATCGAGGGCATGGCCAGCTTGACGCGGATCACAGGCAGTCATTTATGGGGCCTGTCATACTGGCACGATATCCTCCAGTCGGCTCGTTACCGACGTGCAATCACCACGGCAGCCGCGCTACCCTATCTGCTCGACTAAAAATAAGGTTTCTTTTCATTTCCGCTCATTATCAGGCGAGCTATTTTGCCTCACCTATACTTCAATCTTCAAGTTCGTGGACGGACTTTGTTCTGGGACGGGAAGGCGTAAGAGGAATCTGAGTGTAAGAAAGCAGAAAGTAGGAGATTTAGATGAATTCACCATTATCTATTCATCATTGATTCCTGGCGGGGACACTTTAACTTGCATGAGGCACGGCATAAGAGGACAGAGGGCGTGTCAGTTTACGGTAGCTGACTCATCCGACGATTCGTACTACGACGACTCGCAGAAGATCACATTAGAAGGAACGTATCACGATCGTCATGTACAGAAGGACCGCACTTATCGCTTCTATGGTCTCCTAGCCTCCCTCGGTTGTCACCTCCAGAACCAACACCTTCCACGCTCGAACACCAACTCGACTGTTAATCGAATACCAGCGCGTCAATAAAGTGATTAACTGTTCTCTTCTTATTGAAAGTCGCATTCAGTCTGCTGAGCGGTACGGCCTTATCTATTACTACCTACACAATGGTGAATAAACTCACTGTAAATCGTAATACTGCTACTAGTTTAGCCGGCACATGACACTGCTGGGAGGATCCGTGAGGAATATGCCACCAGCTTAGCACCGCTCCCTTGCAAGGACAGCTTCTCTTTCTAAAACGACGAAATGCTTACTACACTATACGCTATTCTACTAGGGCCACCACTAGCAGCCACTACCTTACTTCAACCACTCCAGCCGCCCGTACACCACAGTCGCAAAGCTCTACGCGCTCGACACCACTACAACGAAAGATCGATTGTTTACAGTCATCGTATGTAACATCTATGCTTGCATCCGTTGAAAATGTTGCGTATCCTCGCGATTATTGCTCTTTGTTCGTCCGACCACCAAGACGTGAGGAGATTGAGACGAAAGAGCCGAGCAACGGTTGCATACTGTCCACGGTGCTCAGCTATTAATATACCGTCAACTTGCTTGCGTCACTTCTAATGAAAATTGAGATTCTTCTGAATCGCCTACAAAACGGAGAATGAACTCTCAGCTATTGGAAACTTTAGTTCCACATGTTTGAAAACATCGTTACAGTAATGGGTCACCACTCAGCTCAGTTGGTAGCGACTGCAGATTACGATTGTATGATACCTCAAGGACTCTTTCGATTCTATGACCCCACTTCCCGGTACACTGCCGCTCAGGTAGTCATAGTCAAAGTCCATGGTAAGTTTGTCTATGCTCATTCCATATTTGACGATGAACAAAGAACCCTTCTGGAACAAGGACGTGCAAACCAGAACTTCCTTATAAGACCCTCTCCTCCTCACCTACATTCAGAATCTAGTGACACGTCGAATGCGTATGCGTTCTGCACAATGACCTACTCAGGCAATCCTATATGTATTTCTACTCAGGCTCTACCAGTGCCCCTTGACACTGCACCTTCCTCACCTGCGTACTCAGAATTACGGGCGAAAACAAACGAATGGCTATTCTAGGCAAATGGTGGACAGGGAGGCCTGAAAGTTAAGGACAACTGAAAGCGGCAAACTAAGGAAATTCAGATCTTTCAAACTCATTCTCAACTATAAACTTAAAATAGCAGCGCTTGAAAGCAAAATAAAGTAAAACAAATAAACTATAAACTTTAGAGTTTAGACTCATCTGTTCACAGGTTTTAATGGCAAAAACTCTAAGTCCTCCATATTACGGGGACTTGAGCGTAACTGGCAACCAATTCACTCCAGTGGGAACATGACATACCTCATACTCAAGCATTCAGGCAACTACCTATCGCTAAATACCATTCACTGTTCATAGTTACCCGACATATTGTTGTAATGAAAGGATATCTATCTCCAAAATCTCACCTGACATTGGCCATCACAATGTGACCACGGGAAACTTCGCGGCTGCAACAAACATGTCGAATTTGCGAGATCAGAAAAACAGTTGTAGCAAAGTACAGCACTTGACGAACGTGCAAGTAAAACAAGCAAAATAAATAGATTGCAACAGAATTTCGACAGTGAGCACATCGCCCATTTCAATGCTTTCGGCCAGATCGATGCGACTTCCCCAGAGAGCGCAAAACTTCTAATTAGGTGGTATTGGTCACAACATCCAACAACGAAATTTATCGGCATAACTTCGAAATCAACAAGAACTCGGCAGCATCCCGAAAAAAACAGCAATAGACAGGAAATTTACAGCTTCAGCTTGGTACGTCTCCAGTGGCGCCTCTTTGCATTGTACTTCATCTGAAACATTCCACACTGAGGTGCAAAAAGAGAAAGACAAGATTTTTCTTGAATGTCAATTTCCTTCTAGTTTCAGGAGATAGGTTGTTGTGAACGTAAGAAACTTCAGTGACACTCTGTCACCTAGTAGGGTTGCCCACACCTATATAACCTCAACATTATTAGCAAAGCACAAGATGTACCATACTAGAGCATATGAGGTGGAATAAGAAATGACCGAAATTGGAACGAACCGTGTTCCCTGTCTTCATTCGCGCCCATTGCGGCATTGGCCTGTTCTGTTTTTGCTTTTTAGCAAGCTTTTGCTTGATGAAGAACTTCTTCAGGGCAGCCATACCCTTAAAGACAAAAGAAATCGACTCTACCGCTTTGAACAAAGTCGAGAACGATAAAACATAAACAGAAAACTGACAGAAACATCGCTTTCGAATATGAATAACTCACATCAAACCATGTCAATGTAAAAATAATCACTGTCTTAAAACAACTATCAAACAGGAGCAAGAGTATGAAGTCTAAATCTTTATCAGAAGACTGCTTTCATATACATCTAGGATTTGTACACATAGTTACAACACATACTTCTCTACACATTCAGCACCTAGCTAGCTTTACCTTTCCAATGTTTTCTATGGAAAATGTCTTCGGCGTATGACTGTGTAGGCAATCGTTTCATCTGGCGGTATGGCCGTTGGCCCAAATCTGGTTGAGGGAACATTGTCATCAACTTGTTGAACTGCGCGGATGTAAGGGATTTCCCTTGTGCACCTTCTCCGAGGGTACCCTGGAATAACTTGGAATTACACTACAATTACCCTGCTTTAATCTGTAACCAGGAAGAAAACTTTTTAAGCTTCTATACATTTATTATTATTTATGTGAGGAAATCTTAATGTACGCTTTTGAAACCATAAAGCGGTACCAAACTCGTGACCGAAAAACCACTGATCGATAGCTAAGATTATACTATTGTTTGTCCATTACACGTTTGTAAAGCAGAAGATGGAAAAGCAAGGCGTTGGCAGTGTGCCTGATCGTCCTCCAACGAATCGGGATTAGTATTGTACATTTGTTGAAAAACTTACACGCACATGTTCAGAACCTTATCAAACAATGAGAGTAACTGTAGTGAACGTAAGAAACCGCAGCAACACGTTGTCACCTGGTAGGGTTGTTCACGTCATTATAACCTTCACATTATTAGTGCAGTACACAAAGCACTACACTAGAGCATTGAAGGTAATTACGAAACAACCGGGACATCGTGGTGTACTTCATAGTAGCGAAGGAGTAGAGACGGACAACGCGACTAAACGCAGTTGGGGCCGTGCGCTAGCTTGAAGCCTGAGGATGCGGAGAAGCAGGACTATGACCGTTGATGGATGGTGCAAGGAATGCAGCAAAACCTGGATTGTCCTTATGACACAGGCAACATCCCCTCAACGTGGGAACAGAAGCGAAGCAAAGATAGCATACGCCATTCCACATGAACCTCACAAGTATATGGCCTTGCTCACTCAAATTTATTCGAAAGTATATGGTTCACAAAAACAAAACAGAACTTTAGTTGTTTCAATTGAAATACGACTATGTTAGCGATTAATAACCACAATATTGAGATGTGTGGCGCACCCATACCATACCATACCCACTGTCGAAGCAAGAACTTATATTGCAGCAATTGAAATTGGAGCTCATTGTGAATCCAAAATAAGTGAACGCTGAATATTCTTTTTTATTATGCTTGGCCATTGTGAGGTAACAGACAGATTTCGTNTTCGTCTCTTCAACGGAAACCATCCGCTCTGGAGTCAAAGAATTGGTGCGAATTGCAAGTGCTGCTGATTCGAGCGATTAGAAACCATTCCAAGGCTAGAAACGAAGGCCCCGCTCATAAGCTTCTTCAGCATAAAAACTTGCAATCAAATGAGGCTTTTCTTATAAGTCAGAGAGAATTGCTGAAAAAAAAACTTTCTAAAACACACATTCCCTGCCATTAGGTCAGCGCCGCTTCTTATTCTCGATTTTTAATCTGTACCACATAAGTAAAATTCATTGCCTAAGGCTTTCAACTCGCAATAAAGTGAGCTGCATACACACATAATGCATACAAATGAATGAAAAATATTTGTAAACATAGAAAGGGAAAGGAAACCACATCAAACAGAAACCTTTGCTGCTGCCTCCTTGTATTCCTTGGCAACACGTTCCGCTTCGTGAACGCAGTCCATATAAGCAGCATGCTGTTTTTCACATGGTTTGTCATCAAACTCCCACTTCTTCAAGCACCCGAAAAGAGCCTGCAGCTCTTGGGTACAGGAAGAAGCTAAAATATATTAGATCCAATAGTATAATATGAAAAAAGAAACTACAAAAACAAATGCACGTCAACTAAACAGAAAGGTAAATGAGGAAAGTGCCATACCTGCCGGCCGTCCGATTTTCGAGTTGCTCACATTTTTCGATGCAAGTGGCAAAATCTCCTTGAACACGGTGATTTTTGGATAGACCGATCTCCCCCTACCTACGGCAGAATCCTTCAACAAAGGAGAGGAAAAGAACATCGAATTTAGGCCAAGAAAGCAAGTTGAGGATGCCAACAGCGACCCCGGTACAATTCGACACGCGTTGGGACCAATGCCAGCGTAGAAGAAATGGCCCTTTAAATTATGCATCTGTTTTCGCGACGATTTCCGATGTTCCTGATTGGGTTGTTTTACATATTCGTTTTAATACCGTTTTTCATCAGAACGAGACGTTAAGCGATTTTGAACCTTTTCTTGAATTCGGTAGCTGTGTAACCGATTGGAAAGTCTTACATTTTTACATTTTACAAAGTTACATCCCGTATTGCGCCCTTTTCTAACACATCGTTACATTTATGTGCAAGTAGACTTTGATTTATGATTTTGATTTTTTTATTTTTCCTCTTTTTCGAAAAGGATTTCCTTGTTCGGAATTAGTTTTGAAGAAGATTCAGCCAACTTTACCCTCCCACCGAAGCATCCTTCGATGGTGTTTGATTGAGGTCAGTACGAGAAAGGGATAGTTTGAGATTGGATAACTAATAGATAATCAGTACTGATAGCCAGTAGCTCTCTGAAAATACCTTGAAAATGGCGGTCATAATACGGTCATAATCAACTTCCAGAAGGAATGTGTCGACTAGCGAAGTTGCGCTCCGAGCGACGCTCAGCTCCTCTCTTAAGTAATCTGTCGCTATCGTTTGAATATTCTACTTTTTCTATCCTATTCTGAGGTAAACTAATGTGATGGGAGGAATACGACCACCTCTCATACAAGGTCGCTAGTAAAAGTCAAAGTTACAACCTTGTAGGCATTCTTTCCGCGTCCCATGTTTAGGTTGTTGACTTGGGCTATATGGGCCCAACTTCTTAAATCCCCTGACTTTCGAGTTTGGCTATGAGTTTCTTGTGGTAAAACCTTCACATTGGTCATTAGTGGGCCCCAGTAGGATTTTAGACAATGTTGTCGATATAGTGATCTTTGCGAATGATCCAACTCTGTTCAACTTGCTCACAGAATGGATTTGCTGATCAGATGAAGTGCAAGTTCGTTAAGGTCATTCATCAGCGAGACTGATTCCACAAAACGGAAATTCAGTACAGACACTCGGCTCGTACAGTAATCCGGCATGACATTACCCTATTTTAATAGCAAATTCTCACCTATCATGTATCGAAAAGGGACCTTGGCCAAGGACATGGGGGTGACCGGGAAGCTAGGGGGTAGGGGTACATTCGCCCAATTCTGGATGGACGCCGCAAACTGCACGGCGGAATTTGTGGTGATTTATCCTACTCTGGCGCTTATCATTGTTGCGTAGGATCCAAGTAGATTGGATAAGTAGGTCAGCAGATGCCACTCATCTACCCTACTTTAAATTTGTGCCCCAATGATAGGCGCCAGAGTCGTTTAAATCACCACAACTTTCGCCTCGCAGTTTGCCAAGTCCATCAAGAATTGGGGAGTATTCGTCGCCAGAAGGCTGGAAAGTTACTGTTCGAGCCGAGTATCCGTGAATCGTCGTTTCTGTGGGTGGCTGCCTTCACACTTACCGTTATCTGACTGGCAAAACACGACAGACATAATTGGATACAAGCGTACATTGGGACTGAGTACCTTCAACGCTTCAACTTGTCTGTTCTACTCCGTTGCTAAACGCTATCTACCAGGCAATTAGCGCTAAAGCTGTAATCAGTCGATGCTCGAAAACAAGTAGAGCAGACTAGCCATGTTTTCCGCTTCAAAGGTGGATAGGAGCAGTCAGCCACGTGTTGTGTCGATCGACCGATACGCTCCTTCACTTTTCGACTATTCTTCTATTTTCATTTTCTCATGTGTCTCTCCTTATTCTTAGAATTTCAAAAACATGAGTTCGCCGTTCCGCTTCTATTCTTGTTTTTTTTTCAATTGTTAGACTGAGTTAGGGACGTAGGCGAGTTGGCAGTGACCCGAAATTCCAATGCTCTTATAAAACTTGGCTTCGGAGCTGAAGGAAGACGTGTATTGAGGACCTCATGCTGCGATTGCGTGAGCGTAACAAGCGAGTAGTAGGAATTTTCAAACATCTTTAGGTACTCGTATTTTATACTGGCTAGAGTAGAGCTGGGGTAAGTTTGTATTAGATAAAGAATTATAAGAACAGTTAATTCTTCCTACGGAACGAAGAGCCAGTACGGGCACTCGTTTCCTACAGTAACCCCCAGCTTCACACCACAACGCGTCGCATACGTGACGGGTTAGGACCTGCGTGTTAAGATGGGGTTACGCGTGCCGGATTACTGTAAGAGCCGAGCGCACGTACTGAATTTTCGTTTCGTACTCTTCGCAGTCACTTCATAGTCAAAACTAATCACTGATGTGCATATATTGTTTGCAATTTTTGTCTCTTTGTTTATGTAGTGATTCTCTTTTGGAACCTGAAAAGCTGCATTATCCTTGCCAATTTTTCTTCTTCGTCGTTCCTTTCTCTACGGTAATGCATTCTCTATGGTAATCATTCACCGGGAACGCCACAGTGGTACCATCATGAAGTAACCGAACTAATAAATGTCACATCTCTATTTTTCCATATATCAATTACAAGCATCGCTGTGATGTTTTATTTGTTAATTGCGAGCTAAATACAGTTAAGGTAACCAGGAATGGTGGATTCTAAAGCACCGCTTACTGCGGCCGAGCGACGTGAGCGTCGTTTGAATCGTATTCTTGGAGATGGTGAAAACAGGATCAAGAAAATATTGTCTGGTCCAGATGGAGGTAGAAATTGTTTTTTTTTTTGGCTTTTTTTTTTGACTGCTTTGTTAATTGCTGTTATTTCGTCGCAGTACGCGATCCGAAAGTCTCACGAGATTGGCGAGTTGTGGACCAGATTTCAGTGTGGACGGGACTGGAACCCGCACATGTGCCTTCTGGGCACCTGTTCTTATCCCTTACACTAACGAGACCACGCTCGCCTTCTTAATTTCTTATATGCATAGGTTGTCAGCTGTTTTTTTTGTTGATCAAAAGCTTACAAGCTACTGGAACGGAAGTGATAAGAGGGACCCTTCTAGGCAGCTTCGGGTTTGAAGTTTCAGTAGCAAGCGTTAGCAATAAGCATACCGTTTTTTGATGTGCGAGTGTCTCTATGCGCCATACGTCCATCTGGCAACTTCAAGCTTGTAACGTCTTATTATAGATGATTTCTTGGTTAATGTACACGCCGAATAGTTTATTATTCGTTCGAACAAATATTGTTGTTATCTTCCAGTCCTCCGTGACGTCATTACCCACTCACTGTACAGCGCAAGCCCAGAACTGTAGTGCCATGCAGATTTTTCCCCATGTCCCCCGAATGGCGTGTTGGGAGCATCTTTTGCTACCTACTTGCTGATGAACATCTCTTACATTTCATTTTCTTTCGAACTCCTGTTTGAGGTGACAAAATGATAAACTCACATCTCGTAAGGTCTCCATCGTCGAAAAATTGTCATCTCGCTGAGACGCACGGTTGCCCGCTATGCAAGTGTTTCGAACAATAATTAGGGCGTCTTCCCTTTACTCTTCCATACGCAAGGAGGTAGCGATTTAGGAGTGGAGCTGAAACGTGATTAAAAGAAAAAGCATCTCAGTTAATGAAAGGGAGTGAGCGGCTGTTGCGGACCCTCATAATCTCGGTTGCAGGTGAACAACGATTGCCCCCAATGTTGGAGGGAGGAGAATATAAGTTCCCTCTTCTATCCAACGGCGAAGAAAGACAAGAGGAAGTGGCTGAATCTACTCCCAGTAAGTTAATTATGGCGTTCATTTGTTGTAAAACTTGGTAAGAGGTCAAAGACCTTCCACTAATCGCACGAGTGTGAGTGATAGTTTGTATGACCTGCCTCAGGCTGTTATAATAGTAACCATACCGATATCGTCTGGCCAAGATATTGATAAATAGTGTATGATGTGAAGTTCATCAGATGAACCTTTCTAGTTTGATGGTCTACATGGAACGTGATTAGGGGGGCTTTCCTATGACAAACTGCAGTAGTCTCACTTTAGAAGAGATGATCCTACAGAGAGTTGGAAGATATGAGCATTGAATCTCAATTTTTTCTAATAAGTTTGTTCATTGTTGATATCTCATTCAGGCATTCCGACGTTGAGTTCGAATCGACCCTCTCCAACGAACCAGCTTTTATCCAAAATAAGACAAATGGATATTCCTTTAAGCCTTCTGTATGGTAATTTTTTCTGTTGTTTAATCTGGTCTACTGAATAGTGTAAGCTAGATCCGGTTTCATATCGCTCACACGTCTTACCTGGCTTTCATAGGTGGTACTCAAGAGTGTAGACTCTCCTTACTCTCTAGGATCTTGGTTCGATGAACCTTATCATTTTCAATAAAATCAAAACCCATGGGATAGCTACCAATCTCTTACACCTTCCGCCCGCTCCTAATTAGTTACTTTTCCAACATTTGGACTAACATAAACCCTCAATCCTCCCAATCTTGAAGTCGTCGTGGCCTTGTTCTGATGATTGAGTTGATGACATTTTGTACTTATTTGGGGAACATTTTGCTTGTTGAGGTTGTTGATTTTTCTACTGCGAACCCGTTGCCTAGTATACCTTATATCCCCGGCTCTTTCCTGGACTGTCCTGAATTAAACCTTTGTGCTTATGTCCATTTGTAATACCGCGATTAAGGTACTTTTTTACCAGGAAAAGGTGATCCAGTGTCCAGTGATCATTCCTATTTGATTTTACTAATCAGCATTCCTCAGATGCTGCGACTTTGAAGGAATGCCACATTATCATGTGTTAGGTTTTAAAAAGGTGGGGTGAAAAAGGAGAATGAGTGCTAAATGGATATTCTTCGTGATCACTCGTTGTCGCATATTTTCATGGATCGCTAATCAAGGTTGTGATTGCGGGCAGTTCTCCTTATGTTAATGAAAGGAATAGGTGTGCGACTGAGTCATGAGCCAACAGACTCCTCTTCTTCACCCTCTCTTTTGCATCTTCATTTTCCTCTTTTTTCCAATCCGACACTCTTCTTTGTACCAGGTGG